CACTTGACTGCCTTTACAGAATTATTTAAATAAAAATTATTTATGTTTACAAAATTGCCATTATGCTTAAATACATATACTAGACTTTAATAACAAATTATTTATTAAAAAATCAAATAAAATACAATCAAATATAAAGAATATAATATTCAACCAATTCATATATGATATATTCTGTATATTTATATTAATCTGCAATTATAACCAATACCTATAAGGCCAGGCATGTGGACTATATTTAGCTCACGATAGCCATCACAAACATCTGTCGATCGCATATAAATATGTCGTCAAAATAGAGTATATTTTATGATTAAATTTTCATACAACCAAATAATTCATACATTTGGTTCGCTTTATAAAAAAGTTTTTATTATTGATTTTTTATACTGACAAATTTCAATTACAAAGTATAAATATAATACTATTTTTGGTTTGGGGCGAGATTTGTTAATACATAAAATACAATTTGTATACTAAACTCATTACGTTAAAAAAATATTACTGAATATTCGTATTGGTTTAGAATAATATAATATACAGTATGGCACAATATATTGAAATATACACCCAAAGAATTAACTATTTTTTTCCGTTATATATTTATTGCTCCAAAACGGATAATCCAATCCCAATCCTCTCTTCACGGATTTATAGCCCCTACTTTGTGGATTGTAAAAATAATTTTTATTGTATAGAAATCTACCATGGTAACTGCGCTATTTAAGTTTACAAAAAGGAGGTTTTTCCATTGAAATACATTAGTTTTGATCACAAAAAATGCATAATACAAAACTGGTGTTTGTGAACTCCATTTATTCCTAAACTAACCGTGATAAAATTACTCCATTTAAAGGGAATTTGTAGAATTTGGTTTTGATTATTTTCTCGAAGACATTATGTCTCTACACTATGTTTAAGGGAATAAACAGTCATTGTATCTACAGCAAAAACTATGCTAGATAAAATTAATCTGATAACTGGATTTGAAAGAGAATTTAAAATGAGCGAGTACCTATTTCAGGAATTTTTTATTAACATTACATTTTTTAGTGAATACAATTATAAAACGTATTCATGGAAGCAATAGGTGTATGGCATACATGTGCCCTCCAGTCCATCAGTGGTCTTGCATTTGCAAACTTTCTCACCATTTTGTGTTTCTTTAATAATGATTTTTAAGTCAATTATTTATTTATTACCAATTAAATTATAATCAATTTAACAATGACAAATTTATTATTTACCATTAATTGTGATATTATATCCATAGCCTTGAAAAACAACAAAAAAGTTTATAATAAGTACACTTTAAAGGCATATATTATTAACTTTTGCAGTAAACATATAATTGTTTTATACTTGATAATCAAAAAATTTCTAAAATACATAAAACACATGAATACTTACTAAACACAACATTAGAAATACCCAAAAGTATAATAAGAATCTGTAATTCCTTCACAAAAACACACATTTATTCTTCTCATTGATTGTGCAATAGATTTGAGAAATTTATTCATAGATCACAACAAAACATAATATATTTTTTGAGCAAATTTATGACGGTTTAAACAATTTGTACACAACATTACACTTAATCAACAAAACTTTGATCCAAAAATTATTTATACATTTTGAAGTCAATGGTTAAACAATGAGATATAAATTTAGTATGGGATATACGGGTAGCAAAACAAAATATTTTTGACAAAAACTTTAATATAATGTGAAAGCATCACTACTATAATATCACAGTATAACTGTTACACCAAAAACTATTTTATTTATTAACTGTATGTTGAATAATTTTATGTGAAAAATAACACATACAATAAAGTAAAAGAAAAATTATTGAAAAACTAAAATACAACTAATGACTGATAAATCAATTATAAATGTGTTTTACTATGTATTTCGACCACACATTCAGCGCCGGCATAATGGGTCTAAAGGTGTGCTAATGTTTTCGCTGTTATAGTGAAAAAATAATTTAATGATAAATCTAATTAAGAAAGATTGTTGTTTTAGCGAATTGTGACTTTTAATCTCGTGTTTATGACATGTCATTAGTATTTATGTTTTAACAATATTTAATAACTTTATACATTAATATAATATCAGATGCTGTCTCAGATACACAAAGCCTACACTTTGGAGTACAATATCCGTAATTAAATGGGCCTTCGCTTCAATAAACACTTTTGCAAAAATAATTTCGTATTTTTTGTTTTTCTTAATTATTTCACATTAATTATGATATTTAAAAATTGTGAATTTGTGACAATAAATGCAAATAAGTATTAAATTAATTTAGCTCTCGTTGAACCCGAAAAAACTACAATACATTAACGGCACTAATTTGCGTGTAATTTAATTAGTGTAATACAATGTTACTGTATTTGAGTTTGTGTAGTGAACGGTGAAAATTGTCTTATAAATTGATTTAACATTTTTTAGTGTAGAAAATGCACTCATTTTTTAACACAAAATTAATTACTCTATTTTGAGTGAAAAACACTTTTTTATTTGAAGAGTCTATTTTTGGATAAATAACAAAAATAAGTACACTTTATATGATATTGTTTTTGTATACCAAAGAATAAAACTAATACTCACTAAAGGAATTACAAACTCTAGTACACAGTGAGAGTTTTACCTTGCTAAATTTAAATTATATAAAGATTTACTGTAATTGTATATCTGTGACATCCTTTTTTAATGTTGTTTTCAGAAGTATAGTGTTTACAAAGCTATTTATAAATTAGTTTACAACAAACATATGTATAATACAGTATATATTATTACTAAAATAGTTAAGTTGGATTAATCTAATGGTTACTACTTTTTAATTAAATTTTAAAGTTTTAATAACACTTGACTGCCTTTACAGAATTATTTAAATAAAAATTATTTATGTTTACAAAATTGCCATTATGCTTAAATACATATACTAGACTTTAATAACAAATTATTTATTAAAAAATCAAATAAAATACAACCAAATATAAAGAATATAATATTCAACCAATTCATATATAATATATTCTGTATATTTATATTAATCTACAATTAATAACTAATACCTATAAGGCCGGGCATGTGGACTATATTTAGCTCACGATAGCCATCACAAACATCTGTCGATCGCATATAAATATGTCGTCAAAATAGAGTATATTTTATGATTAAATTTACAAATAATTCATACATTTGGTTCGCTTTCTAAAAAAAGATTTTATTATTGATTTTTTATACTGATAAATTTCAATTACAAAGAATAAATATAATACTATTTTTGGTTTGGGGCGAGATTTGTTAATACATAAAATACAGTTTGTATATTAAACTCATTACTTTAAAAAAATATTACTAAATATTCGTGTTGGTTTAGAATAATATAATATATTGCACAATATATTGAAATATATCTTTTTGTTATTGTATAAACTATTACAATTGTCACTGTCTGAACTATAATCCATTTAGTATATCGAGATACTTTTATATAAAAAAAAACTAATCCTGAAACAAACATTCCGTCAAGAATCTAATCCAATATTCTACGAAAACCTTAGACAAAATTCACGACAAAAACCAAATGATAAAATAACAGGTACTGTATTTAATAATATCAAATCTATTTATACCCCACACAGTATAGCTTAACTATAATTTTATAAATTATGAAAATACAAATCTCTGAATATATTATAGCTGCAAACTGTTTTACATAAGATTTTGTTGAGTAAGACATATTTATTTATAATTTATATAATACGTATGCCTTTAAAAAGTTTATACATTAAAAAAAATAAAATTTGTATTTTATATTATATTTTACCAATATTTTTTTGAAAACTTTCTAATTTATAAAATAAGAGAATATAATAAATTATATTCATTACCAGTAAAATAGAATTTAAAACAATACAGTATATTTTATGTGTATTTTATATTCAATTATCATGTTTTAATTTTTAATCAAAAAACACACATCAGTCATATTAGCGGTATGACATTTTACTGTTATAGTCATATAATATATTATACTGTTTTTTAGTGGTGACATTTTATACACTTGTTTTATTTTGAAGTTATATATTCATTATCTTTTAATAACCTTTTAATTAAAATTTCACAATTAATTTTAGTGATATTTTAATAACTCACAAAAGCATATTTTATTACAATACCATATGAGTTTTGCAGTACATACTAAAATACCCACTAGGAAATTATATATAGTATATTATATATAGTATATCTAGTTGTGCAATATTTCAATTAGTTAACATAATGAAAAAACCTTTTCATTACAATGAATAAATAATATTCAGTATTAATCTCAAGTTATCTGATATAATGAAAATTTCTAATATTGTTCAATATGTCGCAAGCATTTAATAATTTACCAGATCAATATCACTTCATTTTTGGAGTTGATAACATTTGTTTTGTAACGTTCAATACTACATTATATTATATATAAAATATTATTTTAAATATAGATTTTTAATGAGCTCAAAATCTTTTATTCAAATATTCTCACTAAATATTTATTAATCAAAATAAAGTTTAATTTAAAATAAGCCCAGAATTGTGTATTTCTAATATCAGTTTCAGTCCCAGTATTGGTATAATTCTTAATAATTAATGAATCACTACATTCAGACAATATTAGCAACTGTATTTCAATTTCTTATCACTGATATTTGCAATACTTAAATTATACCAGTTGAAAAGTGTTTGCATTTGAATACAATGTGAATAAAATGCAACTCAAATATGGGACCAACTAATGGACTGGAAATAAATTTGCAGAAATATCCTCCAGAAACTTACTTTGAGACCTCTTATCGAGGTTTGAAACAAATAATTACTTACTAAAGCGATAACTTATAAACAATGAAATTAATTGTAGCCAAATAAAATGCACAGTACATTACAGTGTGGGTGCAGTACTGTGAAAGTAATGAGAAAGTGAAAGTTTACTTATATATCAGATTAAAGTAAATCTCAAATCTTAATCTATTTACAGCCAATAGAGGTTAGCATTTCTACCTGTTATTCACATACATTTGTGTTGAGAATTATTTATTTCACGACAAATTGTCACACAATTAAAACCATTTATAATATTGTAAAAGTATTGCTACAAAAATCATTAATCAAAAGCACACAAAATGCTAACTTATATTTTACTAATTATATTATTTGTGGTGACAATTGAATGCACACCAAGAATAATCCCGTGTTGTAAGTATGATTTGATGCTGGTCATTTTCAATATAATATTTATCAATTTAATACAAACTCATAGCCAATCATAATGTCATACAAGAGGTATCAGTCTCTCCGTGCGATTCGGACCCCTGTGTCCTCAAAAAGGGAACGACCGGTACTTTTAGTGTCACTTTTGTAGCACCGGATGACTCGAAGAAATTAACGGCACAGATGTCGGCAATTATTGGTGGTCTCCGACTACCGGCCCCACACTTTGACCGCAATGTATGCAATGGGTATGGCGTGGAGTGTCCGGTGACCAAAGGAAACCGATATAACTACAAGTATGTGATGAAAGTGTTGCCCGAATACCCGGCCATTAGGACTACATTTAGACTCTCAGCGAAGGATGACAAAGGAAACAGTGTTTTCTGTTTCAAAATGCCCGTCCGTTTGGTTAACTCGTAATCTCCAGTACTTTGTATCAAATTTAAGTCTAATCTCATCTCGAGTTTCATCTGTAATTACTATAACGTCTTATCAGTACTTAATTTCATATTTTTTATATACATTTAAAACTTAATTAAGTTTGTATTTTATTGCAAGTTTCGTTTAACAAGTCTTTTAAGTAATTAGATTTGTATTGACTTTTTTTTTCTACAACACATTTTAATTATCTTAAAATATTTTTTACATTTTCTATACTCGTATTTATTATTGAACACAAATATGTCCAAAACAAGTTGTAATTTATCCAAAGGCTAGAAAAATAAATCTTAAATAAATAATTTGACTGCATTTGTGAGCATGTTTGATTTTCATTCCCCGTTGAGTTTTATAATAAATTGATTGTTTCATCGTCTGAGAAATAAAAACAATTTTCAAAACTAATCATAATTTCGTTTGCCTTCAGACAATATGTCATAAGAATTGATAGTTATTTCGCCATTTATTGCATCAATTATTTATATAAAAACCATTTACTTATACAGTCGTCAGTATATGTTATATAATAGTCTCATCAGTGCACAAATCTGGTTCAATGGTAATGATAAGAATTTCGTTTTTATTTTCATTACATTTCCATTGAATTCATAAGAAATATCAGAAAAAATTGGTCCAAATATTGCACTCTTTCTTTGAGAAAGGCTTTGAAGATTTCATTATAAAAGCCATATCTCCATCACAAGTGAACTCCAGTTCCTCCAGACTCCAGTTCCCAATTGTGACGGATATATAAAGAATGAAATATAATAGTGTTGTCCATAAGATTGCCAAATATTACAACATTTCAATGGCTTGTCGTCGACTCCATTGCCATTTCATAGCTCGTAAAACTCATAAAAATGAGCTAGTTATAAATGAATGCACCATTTCTATACTTTGCCAATGAATTTGTTGTGGAATTTAATGAACCGATTGAATGGTTGAGTATTTAATCCATATTTTATCATTGATTTATATTTAAGTAGGATTTTTCCTAATATGTTTCACTCGATATATTTTGTATTTTTTTTATTCAACACACATGTGTTGAAAAATATTGATTTAAAACAGATTACTTTAATATGTTTTAAATCCAGCTAATAAATAATATTTTTGGGATTTCAGTTTATGTGATTTTTAATGCAAACACCATTTATCAACAAAATTGATATATTTTTCAAAATATCATTTTTTGCCAAATCTATCATTTACTTAATATTTATTTAATGTTGAGACTTACTTGCATTTAAATAAAGTTTACAAACATAACAATAAAAATACAGTATTAATGTTATATTATTTCTTAATATCTAGAACCCATACAAGTGTATAATAAATGAATTATGAAAACTAAATACTAACCATAATAAATACTGCATAAAACACATTGAAACATATAGCAGTTTGATAGAGAATGGTTTTATAAATAAGAGAATTATTTTTTATTTTACAAATAATTTTTAATCCATTAAAAATGCATAATACTGTAGTGATTGTAAACAACTGCTAATTAAAATAACAAATTCTATAAACAATTAGATGTCATAATCATCTTATTTGTCAGTATAGAAACACTACCTTTGTTTTTAACTCGTGTATATTTCAAATTAAAAACTTTTATTTGAAAACATAAAAGCTTTGTAAACTAGAAATATAATATAATTTATTAAGTTGGTCACTTTAATAAAAACCGCTATAATATTTTATTAACTTGTAAGCTATCTTAGGGCTTAATAATATATTCAGGAACATTTATATGATGTAACATTATACAATCACATTTTAAATTGTGTAAATTTACATTTATTGATTAGTAAACCTTTTTATATAAATATTACAAATCTAATGCAAATATATTTTAGATTTAAGTCAAATTTTTTATATATTTAAGTAAGGTGAATATAAAATTAGAATACAAAATAAGTTTCAAGAAAACTAACGTGAGCATAGGTAATACAAAGTATATATTGATATACTGTATAAATATTAATGCCAGATATTTTTAGATTTATGAAACCGAAATTTTTTATATGATTTAAATATAATACAGATATTCATTAGACTAGGTTTCTATTCCTACAAGAAGTGCTCACAAGCCTTCAATTTAAAAGTTAAATATGTTTAAACAATTTTTTATTTAATGTACAATACTGAATCTACTGAATCTTGTAGATAATTTCGTATTTAAAAAATACAAACATATTTTTGGATTACAATTGTTTTCAAAACTACTATTTAAAACAAAAACAATCAAATTCGCGTACATTACTTATTATACTCGTACATACATATTATACTTATTATACAATATGTACATACTGTTTTATATAATTTATGTATAATATTTTATTTGAAATTTTTTAGAAAATAAATATTTCATATAAATAGTTTATTGTATTATAAAATTATTTTTAAAATCTCAATTTTAAAATTTAGCTATTTAAGAAATAAAGTTTACTATTGTATAATTTTCAAAGTGCTTTTTAAATTAGCCTTTTTCCGATCGTACCATACTATAATATTATGAATACATAGTATATTAAGTAATAGTCAGATATAAAACTATAATCAGATATAAAAACATTCCCAACTTATCTATAAAACCAAGGTGACATTTAATTTTAAATTAATTATTTAAAATAGGATTTTATTTCCATTTAATTTCATGCTCATTTATTATGAAAATTATAATTTACTTATGTGACGCCACTTGAAACAGTTGTACATTAACTAATCATTAATTATTTGAAAATTTCAATTTCTTTAAAAACCACAACTAATTAGTGAATTAAAAAAGATTTTTATTTTTATAACCAATTAATACATTCAATTATGCGTGTATTTCTTATTAAATATGTGTTCATTAAAATATGTAAATAGTCAAAATGCTTATTAAAACTAATAATCTGAAAATAATGTCTTAGATAATCTTTCAAAGTGACACTTAAATCAAAATACAAATGAATGTAATAATAATATGAAAAATATTTTTGTACTGTTTTGGGCGCAACTGCAACAGCACCACAGAATCGACAACACATTTTCAACCAGAATTTCATATATTTATATAGATATGTTAGTAGGAGTCTGACTGACATACAGCACATACACACAGGGATAGGGAGCTGGGAATCGCAGCTTCTCATCAGTATATGTGCTCATCACTTATCATCAATATTATCATAAAACACAATGTTATCCATTAGTGGCTAAAAGGAGAAACAAAAGTTTGTTTTGAGTTAATGGTGTGAAAAGTACAGTTAAGTACTATATATTGTACTCTTAGTGACAACGGTTTTGAAACATTTAGCGTGTATTAAATGAATATGAAGTTCACCTAAAGTGCTAAACCATGGATCCATTAAATCCATTGATAGATATTAACACAACACTTAACAAAACTATAGATGACTATGAATTGGAGGCTCTGAAGGAACCGTATCAGACAATACTGACCGTCAGTTACATAATAACAGCGCTGTTAGCCTTTATCGGTAACACCACAGCCATCGCTACCCTAATAACTGGTCGCCGGTCGGCGCCGGAACTCAAGAAATATTTAATCAATTTGTTTACGACTGATATACTGATCGCAATGTTTTCCATACCCTTCTCATACACCGACTTCATGTACGGCCAGTGGGTGTTCCCCACAATCATGTGTCCTATCACTCAATTCATAACCGGTTGTGCTGTTTGTGTCAGCGTTTATACGTTAATAGCCATCGGAATCGAAAGGTTTGCATAAGTTTTCAATTTGTTACTACTTTATAACGAATTGAATACTCATTTTTGAGTAAATGTATAATGAATTTGAAAACTTTTTTGTCGCGATTTCAATGTCGCCTTATGATACGCTACATTAGTTTTAAGTTTATAATGAGATAAAAAAATATTTACAAGAGCATGTATGCTATTATTAGTAGACTTTTGTGAGGAATCAGTTTTTAAATGATATATCACTCGAAAGACTCATTTCAATGACTACTTGAAACGAGATTGAGAAATGGTTGTCATTATTTTGTGTTATTTCATTTTTGTTCACAAGTATTTTATATTATTTTTCTATTCATTTTAAGCTTTAGTACAATGATGCCAAAAATGTATAACACAATAGTCGTAATGATTTCCACGAATATTTCTTACAGAATAGAGATTAGAGATATGTTTGCATGAAATTCTGTGCTATAGTTTAGTACAAAATTCTGTGTACACCGTACAGAAATAGTACAGATTCTGTACACATTGAATTTATGATTAATTTTATACGAAAACAACATTTCATATATTGACTTTTTTACACGAATAACTGATTTAATGACTAAGTATAAAAAAATAATACCAGTAAAATATTATTTTGAAGTATTTTAAATAACAAACAAATAGCACAAAAAGATTATGGACATCATTAATATTGAAATTATTGGAACATGTTTATTTAAAATTATCTTATGTATTGTAAGTTATTTCTGTTTTATTTGTATGAATTTCTGAGGAATTATAGTGAGAATTATTATTAAATGGTGTATGAGTTCAATAGCCGATAATAGGCTAAATTGAGTGCAACTATTGGTCTGTATTATAAACACAGTGTTTACTCCAATACACAAACTATTATGGCTTTTGTCATATCTTAATGTCAATCAGTGGTCAAAAAGCGAGTATAAAGTGACATGTCTCACAAATTGTGTAAGCTATTATAAGTTACCATAAGAGCATATTTGATACTTAATGTCAATATAACACTGAGTTATTGGATGTACAAGTTTTTGGCATTAATTCAGTAAAAGTGTTTTTAAAATAAATTATTTTTCTATTGAACTAAAAGGTTGAGTGAAACTTGAAGTCTCTAATTAGTTAACTATTTATATAATATTTGATTCCAGAATTAAAATTATTTATTTTTTGTATTTATATATTATTTTATAAACATAATAATATTCTAACATTAATATAATTTACTGCAAATTCTTATAGTCCGAATTCCATATAGAAAATTCGCACAGAATTTAATTTTGTCCAACAATTTTATTTATAAATATATATATTTTTTATTAAAA